TTTCGGAGCTATCTGTCTCATCCTTGGAAGTGTTTGAGAAGAGCTGTGTGGCACAGTAACACCGCAGGCCTTGTTGAGTGAAGGAACGCTTCCCTGGCGCTCGGGCCGTGTTTGCGGAGAGTCTGTCCCCCTGTGCACACTCCGTGGAGGGAGGCCGGCGCCGCGTGGCGGTCGTGTGGCGGTCGCGTAAGGTGCCGCAACGGGAGGCGGCGCTGCGTCCAGCGCTGATTTACGGGGCGGCGCGCAGAGAACGGTACACGCGCCTTTTCCGCAACGCCCCACCCCCACCTGCGGCGCGCGGGGAGCCGCCCCCGGCCGGGCTGTATATCGCGGGGGGCGGGCGCATTGTCGAGGCCTGTCACCGGGAGCGCCCGAGGGTCACTCGCTCCGCCAGAGTCAACGGCCTAGGGGTGGCCTCGCCCACACAATGAGGCAGCGATGACAGCGGTGGCGGCGTCGGCGGCCGAGACGGTGGCGGGGGGGAGCGGATGTGGAAAATATTTTAAGGAAAAATTTGGTACTTTCAGAGAAAAAAGTGGTTAAAAATTTTTAAATTGCCTACAGTTCGTGCAAATTTACTCACAATTCGTGAAAACTATTCATAAAATTGCACGTGAACTTATTTCAAGATATGTATTTAAAAAACAAATTTCATTAAGAAAAATATCTCTATTCAGAAATTTATAACAGTATGAAAATACGTCTCAAAAATGTTTTGCCGTTTTCGAAAAATCAAAGATTTCAAGACCTGCACCACTTTCTTACCCGTTCCTTACGCGATCCGAGGACAAAGTTTAATCACAAAATTTGGAGGCATTTTTGAGAAAATTTTGGAAATGATTTTGAGGATTCATGTAAAGTAACCTACAAAATAAAAATATCAGTTTTAAACTCACAAACACCGCGAGATCGATCAGATCGATCAGGGAAAAACAAATTTTGAAGAAAATCGCCTGAACCGTTTTGGAACTAGCGCTGATCACACAGGCACACAGACACGTTTTGCCGTCAACCAATTTCTGGGAATCTAGAACCCACAAAACATGGATTCTGACCACGTGATTGAGGAAGTAATTTACTATATAAAGCAAAAGGACTTATCAACTTTTTCGTTACATGGGCAATAAGAGTTTTTCTTCTGAAAATTCTCCTTTTTCCGGCACGATTACATAATTTTCTCTTCTTACTAATAAAGTACTAGAAACTTTTCAGGAGAAAAGTCTAAATTTTTAAACAGAAAAAAGACCTTGCAAAGTTCTTATTACAAGTTAATAAATGTGACTAATTTTCATCCTTTAGAAAATTTCCAGCTAATTTCTCATACACGTCATTAGAATTCGGGACAAAATTATCTTAGCATTCAGGTGGCATTATTATCCCAAAACGTTCAAATTTTGAAATACATGCTGTCAAAAATTTAGTCATCGATATAATACGGAGTGAAATATGTAAAAGTTTATGCAATGTATTAGTTTTATGACGCCTTGCAACTATACATAGCCTTTAATAATCTTAATGTGTGACGTTCTAATATAAAATTTTATAAAATATGTATAATACTGCATTTTGTTCCATATGGTGTTTTTGTTCCATATATTTTCATGTGCTTTGAAAGTGAACAGTGGTGGTTAATAGTTGGCATTTCGTCAACAATAATTATCGCTGAACAAACTGATTTTTTTAAAGCAAAACAATTAAGAATTGAAACATATAATTTTAACCCACATACATTTACGGTTAGTTGAGAGTTGACACAATTCACAGTTATTGGGACTACGTCTTTTTTGCAACTGGTGAATCTTTACAGTTTTGCAAAACAGTTTACCTCAGCGCTCGATGATTTAGATATTAAAGGCAATTTTCACCGTTTACAAGGTTTTATCATTGTATCAGTAATTTCGTTCAGCATTAGTACATGTGAAGTTTGTGTGACAAACTATGATACTACTAACCTACTGTCAGTTATCATAACAATTATAAGATTATTGCATATCTTCATTTTGTAATCTATTCAATGACGAGTATAGTATAATGACAAGACAAGATTGATCTTATACTCTCCATCTATTGACAAGTAGCCGGAGGTGATAAATTGTATCAGACAGAACAAGTTATCCACAATGAGTGGAAAAACAATGGATGTTTGAAACGGTAGGATTAACGGAGCAAACTACGTATTTGACTTCTCTGACTCATCACGTCACGAATTCTTAATATGTTACACTCAATGGTAAATGAAAAATTTATGTTCATTTACTAAATGGTTACTTACAAGGTTTTATCATTGTATCAGTTATATCGTTCAGCATTAGTACATGTGAAGTTTGTATGACAAACTATGATACTACTAACCTACTGTCAGTTATCATAGCAATTATCAGATTATCGCATATCTTCATTTTGTAATCTGTTCAATGACGAGTATAGTATAATGACAAGGCAAGACTGATCTTATACTCTCCATCTATTTAATTTCTCTGACTCATCACGTCACGAATTCTTAACATGTTACACTCAATGGTTAATGAAATATTTATGTTCATTTACTAAATTTCATCGGTAGTTTTGTTTTTGTTGCCGCTCGTACAATTATTTTACCTCTTAATCTCCCCCTTGCATTCTTTTCATTCTTCACCTACAACTTACATTCATTTTGCTTGGCAGCTCAACGGACATTGTAAAATTCTCAGTGTGTGTGAGGATCTTTTGCAATTTTACATGTTAATTTCCTGAGCGTTCATTTACATGGTTAAGTAGTCAAACAATTGCTATTCTATGAATTCGTATAATTAGTACGTAGCTTCAATAAAAAATCTTCCTTCGTCAAAGAATAGTTCACTTCGCTTCATCGTCAAAGAATTTTTCGCTCTTTATGAAAATATGGAAAATCTCCTTGAATCGCAAATCTCAACCTTTTTTCAGCAGAATATTCGACATGTAAGTTAGTGAAAAGCATTGCATATTGATGAATGTGTATACTGGAAATTAGCGTAATTCAAATACTCACTTCATAACGAGTTTAAATATATTTTGGAAGAAAAAACATATTATACCACGTATTTATTTCGACAAAGCTTTTTCGAATGAAGACATATCGCACGTCATCACCAGTGTATTGCGACTTCGGTATATCAACAGTTGTACAGAATCCAGAAAGCGAAATGACGAAATTTTTCAATAACATGATTGACTTTTGCAGATTTTGTAATAGTTTTTTATGGCTGGGGACTTGGTACATGAGCAGTTGTTTAGAATTCTGAAAACGATGCTTACATTTTTTCGATGGATTTTCTAATATTATAGATGACACACAGATAATACACGTTTTACTCGTTACAATATTTTATGTAGTTCAAGGAAAATATTTGCAATACTTCAATTGAAATGAACATATTACGGAATATGTAGAGAAGTTGCGTAGGCATTAAAACGGTTTAAAACAATCTCTTCGATGTCTTCAACTGTACCGTTTCAACTGTAACGTTTGGCAGAAAATAGCCCTGTAGAAATTCCAGTTGTATTGTAATCTGAACATCAGAAGCCTAAGGGAACTTTGCAAATATGAGCGAAAACTACTGTAAGAGCTGTGGCGCAGTGCATCAACTGATTTTATTGCAGTGCCTCTGCCAGGTCCGAGTCCCAACGATGGCAGTATTTTCAACACTAATATTTGACAGCTAGGTCAAATTCAGTCGCTGTCAGTAGAAGAATTCTACCGGCGGCTGCTCTGATTGGTAGTTTTACGAGGTTTCTCCGATCAACAGCCACGCGAATGCAGGAGCAGTCCCTTATTCAACGGGCCACGAACCGCGCTCAATTTTTCCTTCCTCTTCCTATCCTCACCCCTCACACACACGCTTACATTAGCATGTACTACACTACCACACATGCCGGTAGGGTGCGTAGGATGGTGATACGCTGGTGGGAGACATCTTGTCAGGGAAAACCCCGCTAGTCGACGGTAGGTCGGCGTCGGATCTCGCCAGTAGGGGAAGATCACCGCCACCTCCTGATGAAAGAACATGCTCTACACTTACGGGACTAAATATCTCGGTAGTTGACGCGCCTGGCATCGCTAACATTGCGCGAAAACTGCACGCCAATCCTTGTCCGGCGGCAGCGGCAGGACACGGTGTTGTGGAAAATTCCATTTAGAAGACTGCGCACGTACAGTGTAAGTACTGCGTTCAGTGTATGTATTACACATTGTACATTGGACGTATTGCGCCCGTTCAAATCCCAGAAATGTCGTCCACCTTATATATATAATTTTCTATCAGTTTTCTGTGTAATATTTTTTTTTTTAATTTAATGAATGGCAACTGTTGAATGTACTGAAAAAGGACACTGTAAAATTTCACAGACATGTAACAGGAGATTTTTTGTGTTCTACTACACTTACATCTAAAACATTTAAGACCATTGTTATTTCCGGTTGCATGATCATGAGTAGAACCTAATGTATCATACAAATGTGAATTCTCTTTTATATAAAGAAGACATTGAAAATTAAATATGGCTGGAACAGTCATAATACCTAACTTTACAAAACTCAACATTCTGTGGCTGCGCATAGGAAGACCACAGGTTTTTTTTTTTTTTCCAGTTTCAATAGTCTTATCAGCAGACCGGTGACCTCGAAGTACAGTATGTGATCAAAAGTGTCCGGACACGTGGCTGAAAATGAATCACCAGTTCGTGGCACCCTCCATCAGTAATGCTGGAATTCAATGGGCTGTTGGCCCATCCTTAGCCTTGATGACAGCTTCCACTCTCACAGACATACATTCAATCAGGTGCTGGAAGGTTTCTTGGAGTATGGCAACCTATTCCTCATTCCCATTCC